CGATCTGCAGAGCGTTTTGATCCAAGAATATCATGGTAAGAAAGTGAATTATCACGCAAATTATTAAGTATGTCTACAGCTGATCTAAATTCATTATACTCGTCAAATACAACAGGTTGATGAAATGTTGCATTGCCATAACCCTTAATATATCGATTCACTTCTGTTCTGAGCATTGTCATAGAACAATTGGTAAGAAGTACAATATCTTTGCGGTCACGAATTGAGCATATAATTAAATCAATATTATTTATTTTGGAAATTCGATTAACAAATGATCCATATGTGTCTCCAAGTACATCTGTAATATCACTAGGGATATTCTTAGATCAATAACGATGCTTCTTTATTTGTAGAATAGAATAAAGACTATGGTTATATAAAGTAATGCATGCATCTGTGCTACCAAATCACGAATCAGTGATAATTGTTCTATCACTACGAAACTATGGTTCTACTAATCTTAACATAGATGCAACAGTTGCTGGGTATTGATCCAAAAATTTTTTTTTTATAGCACATTCCGAAGGTTCTGCTGGGTCTAATCTTAAGAACAAATTAATTTGAGCATCTGCAAGAGCTTTGAATTCACATCCAATTAGATGCGGCTTTCTCGGTATTTTTCGTTGAAATGGACCTTTATCAACTTTGCCCATCCATTGGCACATTGATTCATCCATGTAAAGGTAAGGATCAGGTAGGATAGCTTTTGTAAGATTTTTGTTAAATTCATCGTGAAACTGCCGTGCAAAATGAAAGGGATCATCATTTGCTAATATATCTGTTAATATCAAATATTTTATGATATTTCAAAATCGTTGATGTGACATGTATTGACCAAATGCCAGCGAAACTCCAGCTGTTTCTTGTTTAATGGACCAATAATCGCAAATATCAGCACATTTTACATATGTCATAATCATTAAAATGCCAATAAATCTCATAAATTCTATCCATGTTAAATCACTCCATCCACGTTCACATTCACACGCACTCTTATTTGTAGATGGAATTACCACTGACATTATAAAATCAACAGGCATAAATCACTCAAAAAATTTTCTGGGTGTTGCTTTAGAGATATCAGTAATGTGTACAACTGGTGTGCTGAAATAGGAGCGGGACACTTGGTGAGAATCAATAGTAATAACTTTATTAGTCCATCGTACATTATTAACATTACTAACATTTATGATTTCTCCATCTTCAGAACTATCATCAGTATTACTTGAAATATCCGTTTCACTATCCATTTCGCTATCACTTATTCTCTCTTCGTCATCCATATTTTAATCAGTATCTGAACTAGTTATGGAAAAAGCCACAAACTTCATATGGCCCGATGAAACCTCAATTTCATTTTCTGGTTATGAATCGAGACAAATTATCCAGCGGTTATTACCTGGTGTTACTCGTAGAACTGTTGCTGAAAGTCGTTTAGTCTTCCATAATTCTCCCAAAAGTGGTTGAGCGATGTTTTCACCTACAACAGAATCCAAAACAGAAACCTTGGCGTCTTCTCTAATATTCAGAGAAATCCATTCCATTTTAAAGGTTAGATAAAGAAAGAAAAAGTTCAATGAGAAAAGGACTTCTATATTCCTATACATACCTTATACTAAGAAAAATTCACATTTCACATTTATTTCGCAGTCGGTTTCAATTTACATTGAGAAATTAACTTATTTATTTACTGCCTCATATGTACAAATCATGTATATAACGCTCACTTACTTAATATTTTAACCTTTTTTAA